GGGGGGTAGATCTGTAGACTTGCTAAGTCCTGTTGTTGTTACTGGTCACCATGATGTTGCTCTACATAATTACAGCATATAGCTGCAATCACGCTACGACGACGCCGTTTACAAAGAAGCAATTGTCGCGGCAGAACGCCTTGTACAAGACCGCATGCTTGGTCTGGATCACCTCCATGAGCCTCCTTCCCTTGCTGAAGATCTCCAGGCCGATCGGCTAAGTCGAGACCTTGCTTTGCCGCACTTCACTTCGCTAAAAGGGAAAGTGTCTTCGCGAGCCGTGTAGTAGGACTTCTTTGAAGGCTCGATACTGAGTTTTCGTCGTTGTGCTCTTAGTAAAATTCGGCCATTTAAATCCGTATGTGATCCGGTTGCGGTCAGTTTTGCGCGCAACGTGGCCTCTTCCTTGAACGACGCCGTAACTCCGTTCTCACCGGGAGGGGGTGCTCGCGGAACGTTATCTCGCTGGATACGTCTTTCTCGTTCTCTCGTCCTCCGTCTCCCGCGGCGCGGATTGTGGTTGATCACCATATCGAATTACTACCAACACCACCCATAGCTTACACAGCTGGCCGATATTGCGGCACGCCATTCACCTGAACCCAGTGGCTACGCGTCCGGTTGCTGATGGTCGAGAGCGAGCACTGACCCGCTGAACAGCAAGGAGCACGTCTCAAACCCTTCAAGTACTTTCCAACAAGGTCACAGATACCCTTCTTATAGTGGGACGCTGTATAGCTGCCATTTTTAGGGCGGCCATGAAAAGAAGAAGAAGAAGAAACATGATCACAAGTATTCCAGGAACGCGACCGGAGTTGTCACGTGCTGGCATTCATGACCCTGTCGCCTGAACCCCGAATAGCTGATGATATCCCGCAGTGCATCCGCGTCGGATTAACCTTGCTTCGCACGACCTCAAAAAGGATGTCAACCTCTTCAGAAGAGCAACACGCACGGTCACAAATCAAGTAAGCCTCATTGAATCTACTGACTGGCAAAAGATTGACGTACAGCAGGTGTTCCGTAATGACGACGGGCAAACCAAACAGACAAAACCCTCTAGGCTAGCTTTCTCGCCTTAGAGAGAGTAATAAAATCGCGCCGAATTACCTTTATACTTTAGAGCTATCCTTCTCTAGCCGCCTAGATCTCTAGTTTTGAGCTAAGCTAGCGTCGTTAAGCCGAGGTTAGGCTAGTAGGCGTATTTAGATCGCGCGTTAGAGAAACGTGACTAAGAAGCCGTATAGAGCGTTCGTCCGAAGGTTTCTCTAGAATAGTGGTAACGATATCGACGTCTACTATATTATTCTAGTAGTAACGCTAGTAGATTCTATTATAGATCTAGTCTATAATCTAATTACGTATACTAGAAAGAGTAGTTTCTAATATAGTTAATCCTATACGTAGAAAGAAGGGGCGGAAGCGGCCTTACTTTTTATAGCGGCTACGGCGATACGACGAAGTATCTTAAATTTAAACGGCTCTTTTATTCTAAATACCTATCTAAGTCGTCGGTTCTAGGTAACTATCTAATTATATTAACTTACTTAACTAGAAGACGTTATAATCTTACCTATCGGGTTTCGGACGCTTCGACGAAGGATAGGAGTAAATCTCTAGTCTAGTATCTATTCGATCGAGATAGATTTAAGGCGACTAGAGATTTTAATATTCTATAAATCTATTAGATTACGGATCTAAGGACTTACGAAGACTAAATCGCGGAATATATAACTAAGGATAAATTTAACGAGATAGAAGTATAGTATATTACGACGTGCGATAAACTTAACTATAGGCTTAACCTAGTTAGTAGATATTATTTAGGGTCTACGTAATATATATAGTAACTAAAGTAAAAACTTACGGATTATCTTTATTTCGTTTCCCTTTAAGGAGACGAAGCCGAATATATATAACGTGGATGATAAGCGAGCTGGCCAGATAAGCGAGCTGGCCACTCCAACCCGACCACCTCAACATAATCGGCCTATACTTAACCAC